TCAACTAAAATCAGCTAAAATTCATCTAACTTGATCTTGAGTCAACATGGTTTTTAGGATACCATTAAAGTAAAGGAGTTACTGCTTAGTTTTAGAAATAAAGTTTTCCACATACTTGCATTAATACTTTTCTTAACAAATCAGAGCAATCAGCATAAATAGACCCTAAATTATTGGAATCGTAAGTTTAACATATTACTTTTCTTTACATTAACGTAAGGATTTTATATGAAAACGCAATAAAAACTCTGTTACTTGTTTACTATGTAGATTGTATACTATAAATAATATCCATATTATATGGTACAGATATACTGAGCCATGAAATTATAGTTTAGTACCATAATCCTAGTATCTAACCTAAATCGCACATAAATGCATCCACAGGCTTGAAGCTACTGCTATGGCCACAGAATTTAATTACCAATTTTTTTGCACTCCCACCTATGTCTAAAACATTAAATTCTTTATTTTAAATTCTGCTCAAACAATAATACTTTTCAAATGACACAACAAAATATCTAATATCATTAACAGAAAAATTTATAAACCGTGATCTATGAAACCTATTTTGCCAGTATAAGCGTCTAGGTAAAAAAACATTTTTTTTTGTTAGTTCAAACAAAAACCTGAGGTGCTTAGAACTTATTTTAAAAGAAACAACTCAATATATTCATAAATAACTCTGACATACAATACATATCAATAATATTAATAATTTTTTATTATAATTTTAATTGCGTAGAACGTAATATATACTTAAAAATGATGTTTGTAGAGACTTAATGTAAAATCGAAACTGTAAGAACACTTAAGAAACTTAATCTATATAGTCTGCATACACAAAAGGTACAGAGAAAAACAAATAAAGCTATCAATGAACTTTCATAAATAGGTACCAATCAACCGATACAAAAACAACTTCTTGTTCTCATATATATATTCCAATTGGATCGAATTGATATTAATAAAATAGATTAACAATATTTTTATTAATAAAAAACAAGCAAGAAATGTGACATCTTATGCCATGTCCCATGTTTTGTTTTCAAAACTCTGTGTTTGACCCGGCTAAATTTGGGTTAAGTTAATTGGGAGTAGCAATCTTGTGCATCAACGTTTCACAAATAATGTTTCGTTGTGATACCACGCTTGAGTCACTCTTCATCGGTCAGACTTACAAAATCACCTTAAACATAAAATTTTGAAGCGTCTACCGCTTAAACAGAGAATGCGTCATTCATCTATTCTTTTAAAGAAAAGAATATATTCCTTAATTTCTACACTTTAATAGATATAATATAACATCCAACTATATCAATATATGAAATATATTTGCTCTTTTATATAAAACTTTTTTAAGAAGAAAAAAATCGTTCACGGATCAGTAATTTTTCGCATTTGCTTTCTGGCCGATCTTTTAACAATCACTTAAAATAGAGCACGCAAACCACTCCAAGTGAAGTTACTTCACTTGCATTTTTGTTTTGACTCCATTCTACAGGTCAACTAAACAACGTTCAACTTGCAAAAATTTGTGGTATTTGTGTTTATCCCCTCTTTTTTATTGAGTAATTTCAAATTTATACGAATATTTTTGAAAACAAATAGTCTGAAAAAATAAACTTCTAAATAAAATAATTTGAGTCACATTATGCACTGGTAAAAATTTTAACGATTAATTTAGATATGTATATGAATACCCAAATTCAAATTATATATATAATAAGTAGATAATAAGTACAAAATATATATACTTATAATATAAGTAGATAATTAAATAAGCCAATCAATTTCGGCCTTAAGAAGAGTTTTTCTTCTTTTTGTATTGGTTTCAATTATCCAAATTAGAAAAAAATGAACCATCAAATTCATTTGATAAAAAGTTATATATGAAAGAAAGCTCTTTCGCATATGCATGTAATTGTCATATTTAAGATAAAACTCTTTCTCTCATAAAAGTGCTTTTTAAAATTGCGAACAACCTGTATGTTTGATGCATCCCTTTAATAATTCAGTTATGTGTGGTAATATATTTGTGTTAAATTTAAATGTAAGCAACACAACCGAAAATCATCATATTATGTTCCATTATTAAAATTCTAAAAAACTGACTTTTCTTCTGAAATAAATAATTAGATAATTGAATTGCAGTTATACTCATCATGCATGTATTAGAATATATCATATATAGTTATTTAATATAGTCCATTTTATAAGTACTACAAAGTTACAAAATTAATTATTTATAAATCAATGAGCATAACATTTGCATAATATTGTTTACACAAATCGGTTATCATATACTTAACAATTAAACGTCACAAAGTAGTCTCCATGTAAATCAATTAAAGATTCTGTGTTGTTATGTGGCAGCATCATATTTTGACAAGAAGTAATTACATTTTGACATAATTGGAAAATTTTTACTCGTGAATGATTTACAAATTTTAACTTTGCAGCTAATAGTTGCTCGAAAATGGGGAATTTGAAGAAGGGTGCGGTTTTTGTTTGCAGTTGTTTATTTATAATTTCAATTGGACGTGCAGAGTTAATTATTAGTTCTCAAGATGAATTAATTGACAGTAATGAAGTGTCAGACACATTCACCATCGAAGGCAAAGTTTACCCACCTGATATGGCAGGTGCTCTTTACAACAATAAATGGTTGGCAAATACAACGATTTCTATTAGTGGTGGAGAATATAAAGGATTTTTGAGAGACGACGGTTCTTTTATAGTCAGTAGTGTGCCTTCAGGAAGCTTTGTTTTGGAAGTTCATAATCCTGATTACTTCTATGAGCCTGTAAGGTTACCTAAAATTACTTGTTCATTTTCAGTTGTGACTTTAAAATATTACAGGTTCGCGTAGAAATCAATCCTAAGGGAAAGTACCGTGCTCGTAAAGTCAATTATGTACAGCCTTCACAAGTTATACAAGTACCATATCCATTGAAACTTAAGGCACTTACCCGTTTTAAATATTTCCAGGCACGTGAACAATGGAAGGTAAATATTAAACAAAAATTCAAACATAGTACATATGAAATAAATTTTCTTTTAATATAGATAACTGATTTCCTATTCAATCCTATGGTTCTAATGATGGTATTGCCATTGCTACTTATGCTTGTCCTGCCAAAAATGATTAGCGATCCAGAAACAAAGAAAGAAATCGATAACATGCAAATACCAAAAGTAAGTAGTGTTTAATTTTCCTTGCCTATACTAAATGTTACTTAATTACTTTTTCTAGATGGGCAATGAACTGCCGGAAATAAGTGAACTTATTGCTTCATTGTTTTCTGACAAACAGCCAGAGAAGAAGCAGACAAATAAACAAACAAAAAAACGGAATTAAATAAATAAATATAATATAAATAGATTTGTTGCTTTCTTGAAATTAAAAATTTTGTTTCTTTAATAAAAGTATTGTAATTTAATTTAATATAAACTTATTGTGTACAAAACTTAAAAAATTTAACGTAGAAATGAAGTAGGATTTTCTCTTTTCATACCAAGACGTTCTTCTTCCAATTTTAAACATTCCATTAATCCACTATTTATTGGCTCTGCAATTTCACACCCGATCTTTACGCATTTATCAAAAGAATCTTTATTTAAAGAACCTTTACCTGCGGTCTGCACACTTGATATGAAACCTATAAAGATTTCAAAATTAAATATTTCATCGCCGAAAGTTAATAAACTTACTTTTTCCATTTTTAATTGTAATGCCCATTATTATTGTAGCTGTAGCACATAATTCTTCTTCAGCGGTGGGATCAACAACACAAGCGTCACCAATTTTTGAAACCGTTATTATGATAGGTACAGATTCCACATTTATACGTGAACAGTCGTATATATTATCTGTAATTGTCAATTCGGATTCGCCTGCATCCAATAGTGAAGCCGTTACACGCGGAATTTTTACATTAAATAAAGCTGCTTTCGTTGCCAAAGACACCGCATCGTAAAGATTTCCACCACATTCTAAAATCTTTTAAATAAATGAAAAAACATCATACAATAGTGTACATATTGCTGTTGTATATGTTACCATTATATCAACATATATTTTCCAGCAGTGTTGTCCGGACAATATACACAAGTCTGTTAAATCGAATGCAAGAGGGGAATCATAGGTATTTGCTAGAGCGGCAGCTAACTCAGTTGCTAAGGCATCTCCACCACGTCCTTCAAATGCTATATCGGCATTACCAGAACTTTAACAAATTATGTTTAATTAGTAATGTTAATGTTAAGCATGTTTTTGAACGCATTACTCACCAGTCAACTGAAAACTCTATTTTACCTTGATTAGGGGTTTTTAAATCTGGTTTTTGGATTTCTGTTTTAATGCCTACTATAACATCTGTATTTGCTAATTTGACTCTAGACGAACCATTAGAACAAATAGATGTACCAGTTTCAACTAATATAGTTCGGTAGTCGCAGTTTCTGCGTCCATCGGTGCGATGATTTTTCTGATATATGTTAGAAGATTAATTAAAAGGATATATAAACGATTAATGCTTACTTCAGCAGCACGTATTATAAATGTTTTCTCGCCTTCGCTTAAAACCACTCTTGCCATTTTGCATTAAATATATAAATAAAATAAAAATTATGATTTAATTATTATTATTGCCGCTATGCATAAGTATGGTTATGTTCATCAAAACATGTCAATACTTGCGTTGCCAACTTAAGATAGTTTTGCGAAAATCGTTTTCGTCTCAAAATATTAAAATAATGTATGCATAAATGCATAAATCAATATTAATGAAATAATGTAATATATATATACAATTCATAAGAATGTGTGTTAAATATGTTGTTCATTTAACATATTTATCTTGTATTCAATACATATGTAAATACATGTTTGATGCTTAGTAACTAGCAACTTATTAGCTAATTAATAATTATTACAAAGTTTTAAGCAATATATTTAAAGTAATTGTAAAAAATAATTTGATTTATCTGTCCTTAGAAGAATAGATAAGGGTTGCATAGATATTTTCGTATAAATTGTATCCATTTCATTTTTTCATTTGCACTACATGCCCCAAATGCCACCTACAGACAGTAAAAAATTAAAAGATAACGAAATCTTCAATAAAATTTATATGTACTTAATTAATTGAATTATGTGTTATATAGACAGTATTGATGTCGACCCTGTTAAAATTCCGCGAATCTAAGAAGTGAAGCTGGCAAAGCTAACAACTCAATCAATAAAAAAATTTAAATAACCGAAAAATAAAAATTTGGTTTCTTGCACATCTAAGCAGCATAATATGCTGTTCAGACACATCTTAGTTTCGCAAAAATCTTAGTTTCATCTTCGTTTCAGCGAAACTAAGTTGTTTTTTCCATACAAAACTTAGTTTCAATGTCAAAACGAAACTAAGGAAAATAGCCTTAATTTCGCTGAAACGAAGCATGAAACTAAGGGAATTTTCAAATGCAACTATGTTAAAAACAAATTTTAAGCAAAAGATTAAATTGAGATAACGAAAAAGTGACATGTATTTTTAAAAACAGCTGACTTTAATAAAACCGGGAAAATATTTTGAATAAAATTTAAACAGTTAAGCATTGGCGATGGAGAAGAAAAGTTATAAAAAAAGGTACGGTTGGACCCAAGCAGCAGAAAATGCACTTTTGGAGGTTTGGGAATACAATATGGAAGGCTTTCGTGGTGCACGCAAGAACGGGCATGTGCATAAAGAAATCAGCGATGCATTAAATCAACTCGGGTTTATGCTCAATCCCAAAGAAGTGCAAACGAAAATAAATAACATGACCTCAAAATTCAGGTATTTGGAATTAACGTAATGAAGATAATAATAATCAGGATGTTGGTTTTTATCAATATTTTTCAGCTCTTTTAACCATTGTGCATTAATGTGGTCGTTGTTTTCATTTAAAAAATTGTGCAGCACACAACAAGCACTCACAATAATATTTGCATTATTAATTCTATTGTCCAAACCCTTTCCTATTCGTCGAATTCGTGCTTTTAAGTGTCCAAATGCATTTTCAACAACCCTTCTACATTTCGAAAGTTTCTAGTTATAATTTTTTTTACAAGCGGCATATCAACATTAAATATGATTTCCTTAATTTGGGCAGTATGAACACTTTCGAAACTAACTTAGTTTCATTTTTCCGAAACTAAGGAAATTTGGCTGTCTGAACATAGCATAAGTAATGATCTGGATCTTCTTTGATGAAGCGATACGGATCACAAGTGAAAGTAATTGGCAACGCCTCAATTATGTCAGCTGTGTTGGTTTACAAAATTTTGTTTTGATTTGTATGAATAAATTTGGCGCCAAAATAATGATCGAAAAAATTTCAAATACAAAATCTGAAAATCGCACTTATTCAAGTGTATCAAGCTTAAGGATGAAGTGCATCAACATGGATATACTGGGAATTTTAAGGAAACTGTTAGTAACTTTTCCAATGAAGAGTTCATGAACAATTTTAGGCTTCAACGATGTACCACTAATTACTTGACAGATATTTGTTGTTTGTTTTATATGCATATCTAATAAATTGTTATTACGACCAATATTCAATGCACATTTTTAATATTCGTGGGCTTAGGTATTCACTTAACACATAAATATCAAAAAAGTTTTTTTAAATAAAAAACCAAAGCAAGAAGGCTTACTACAATAAAAAGCATTATTATAGCTTAATCTTGCAGGCAGTTTGTAAAGCAAGTGGTTTTTTTTATAGAAGTGTATGTTGAAGATCCTGATTCCTTACACGACAGCTGAGTTTTGCGTAGATTACAATTGTATAGTACAGCATCACTCTCAAACAAATTTCCCAGCGGTTCTTTTTTCTTAGGAAATTCTGTACATCCTAATTTAAATTGGCTAGTAAGTCCATTCAAAGATAATTTTTTTGTGTTCCACCCAAAGAGAGCTTAATGTAATGCAGTCGGACAAAGAATTATCATAGAAGACACTTTTGGTCGTATGAAAAGAAAGACCTTCAATAACGAATTTAATTATGTACGCATGCATATAGCATAATATATATTGTACACAAAATGATGAAATTCATAATGAATTCATTTAGAATGACTATACCTATGAGAAAGACAAATTAAATGCTCAATATCTTGTAGTGGATAACAGACGGAATTCAATTTTATATATTTGTTATATATCAGTTATATTTTTTATTATATGTTAAAACCGCTTTGCCAACGACATACATTCTACATTAAATCGGAATGTGAACCAGTTCAATTATTGGTTCACCGATTTATTATTGTTTTGTATATAAAACATTTGTTGAAACACGTCTATATACAAAATATACAATTCTTAATTTTACAAAAATAATTTGCTAGTGTATAATTTATTTTTGATAATTTTGAGAAAACTTTGCATATGTCATATATAGTAAAATGTTTGTTAGCTGACATTTTTTAAACAGTTTTTCTTTAAAATTAATTTTAAAGATTTCAGCAACACAATATTAATAGTAATGTTGAATTTAAAAATGTTTGAAATCGTTTTAGATTTTGAAAATTCGTATGAGTTATGAGTAACATACGACTCGTATAAACTAAGCCGAAGATTATACAATGTAATAAATAATAATAATATATGGAATATATTTCATATATAAAGAGATTTAACCAATCTCATCTATTAATAAATTTAAAAGCGTGTATATTTATATGGACAAACCTTTTTTAAGCCATAAATGTATTTTTCTCAAATTTACCGTATTCAACTTAGACATCGTTTTGAAATATCTTCAGAAATATCTCTTGCGTTGCTGAGGTTTTGGTCTGTATGCGGAACCATATAATTCATGTCTTACTTGGTGTCCTAGCCTCTCCTTTTCCATAATGACATATCCACAAGTATTACACTTAAAACTTGAAGTTGACTGGTCTGCGTTCATACGTAATTGCAAATGCGTAGACACGGTAGGCGTATCGTATTGCGTACCGCATTGCATGCAGTGACATGATTTTTTAAAACCTTCAGTAGTATTTTTTTGCAACATTTCTGATGACATATCTTTCGACAAAGAGGAACGCTTACTTTTTTGAAGACATGCAACGTTTGAACAAAAACTCTCTTGATTGAATTGTTTTAATATTTGACTACCCTTTTCTGGATTTTCGGTTGGGTGAATATCTAAGTTGATACTTTGTAATAAATTCGAATTTGAATTCGATAGAGATGGAAAATGCCATAACTGAGTGTCGTCCAATTGACCTTCTCCTAACAATGGCTTATTGAAAGGGCCTGAAGGGTCAGTTGTCCAACAAAAATCATCATTTGGTGGAATGCCTAAAGACTTAAAATAATCGTTATTTGAATGACATTCCAGAGTACTTAAACAATTTACGGGATTTTTTAAGGATTTTCGATTACAACTTTCAGCAGAACTTGTTGTGCATTGGTTTGATTGAATTTCATCATTTGTAAGATTGAAATCTAATCGCAGTTTCCTATTTAGTTCAGACATCGATAATTTTCCTGATTTCTTAGAATTTTTCACCTTTAAACCACGATTGCTGCGTACCTTATCACTTGAATTCCCCTTTGAATTAACCTTTTGGCGAGGCGGTAAAGCCAAATCATCTAAAGTTTTGATATATTTAAGTTCTTTCATAAATTCCTTTAAATCAAAAGGAAAATATTCTTTCTTCGCCATTTCTCTATCTCTATCAAAGTTCTAAATTCATACAAAGTGACACAACCGTCTTTCCCAAATTTTTTTTAATTTAAAGACAACTTTTTCAGTACTATGAAATTTGTATTGAAAAAAAAATAAATTCAAAGTATTTAGTTTAACAAAAATGCTTTACTGACCTTAATTGTAATAACTTACCTTATTAGATGTCTCTTTCGTTTTCACAAGTTTTTGGATTTAGAAGTGAATCACAAAGAAGCTTAGTTTTGTTAAGGACTTCAGTAACGTTTTTTTTTAAACTTAAAAATTCAAAGCGCGTATTCACTTTTTAAATTTGTGACTGCCCTTATTCTTGTTAAGTTATAGAAAAAGCCAATACCTCCTGCACTTTGATGAAAGTGTTGCCAGATTTACAATATCACAGTTAAATCAAGAATTTTTTGCTCTCTGAATGTCAGTAACTACATTCAAAGAATAAATAAAATTTCTTACAATTTTCTAGGCTTGTCATTTAATATTGACAAATTGACATGTTATGCAAATGTTGCTATCTGTGTTGTGTGAAATATATATCAAAATAAAATAATAATATGAAATAAAAGAAATATATTATTGTAAATTAAAAATTAATTCAATTAATTTAATGGAGATAATTAAAATTCTAACCACAGTATAGATTAGAGTATGTGTACATGTAAATGCTTTATATAATTCACTACGTTTACGCGAGCTTTAAAAGTTGTTTTAAGGCTCTTAAAATCGATTTTAAGATCGCGTAAACACCCTTAATTAAATTTTGCTTAGAAGCACTTTTAGCTTACTAAAAGTAGTTTAACATCACTTTTAGTAAGTAATGTCACTTTTAATCTTTGCAGAAAAACAAATAATTAAATTGTTAGACGGCAAAAAATATAGAAAAAGCCTAATTGCATCCCAGAATCTAAATTAATTAAAATTGTTTATTTTTTATTTTCTATTTGAAAATCTTAACTTTACCGTAATGGTCACTTTATATTTAAAACAAATGACAAATTTGTCATTAATCTTAAATTGTTATAAATATATTATATTATATATATTATATTGTTAGTTATAAAAAAGTATAAATTAATTAATTAAAAATTTGTTTTTTCTACATTATTTTTTTAATTGCTTCTATGTAGAAGTGGAAATTTTCTCGCCAAGTACGCGCATATATGATCTCACATAAGATATCCGGACGACGAATTTTGTCGATTGTAAATATGTTCAGATTAGGGATATTCACTTTCGCCATGAGGAATTATAACGTTGTTTAAATATCTCCACAAAATTGTGAAGAATTCCGCACGCTATTATCACATGCGGCATATTGTAAACATCCAGGTCGCTCTTCTTATAAAGTATTCTCTATCTTCCTTTTAAGCGACCAAATGCTTGCTCCACAACAATTCGTGCATTGATTCAAATATAAGTTGAAGGATGTCTCTTCAACAGTTAACTCGTCCCTATAATTTTTCATAATCCAGTTACAAAGCGGATAAGCTGTATCACGAATAATATAATAAGGAAGTTTAAAAAGCATAGCTTCATTTAAGGTGTTGTGAATTCCGTCGATTTTCCTATGGTTTTCAGCAATTAATGTATTATGGTTTTTGTATAGAGAACTGACCCTAAGCACTGATGCATCGTGTGCACAGCCAGGATTTTGTGCTGTAATATTTCTAAATAAATATTGATCATCCACAATAGCTTGCACTAAAATGGAACTATAACCTTTTCCTGAATTCCTAATATTAGGATTTCTTCTGTAAAGGCATAAGTGAATTTACCGAAACACGCGTAGAGATACACAAGCACTACATTCGAAATAAAAAGTTTAAAATATTCAAAAACGAAAAACCCCATTTAAAACATTTTCGAAGTAACGACTCAAAAATTAAAACAAAATTAAACATATGTTTTTTGTTTACAAATCGAATGTTAAAAGTTACATGCTCCAAACTTCATTTATATCTGGGGCATTCAGTAGTTCTATTAGCTTTAATGGATCTCAGGTATGTGAAATATTTTTCACTCTATTTTATATTATTAACAGTTACAGTTTTTTGTCTATATTCAAATTCAAAAATTTGTACTACTTTCAAAATATTTTCCGAGTTTTATTAAAGTCAACTGTCACTGATATTTATTTAAAAAAAATGTCACTTTATCGTTATCTAAAATTTATCTTACGCAGAGTTCGATTTAAAATATCCCGTAATTTCAGTCTTCGTTCTAACCTTAAAACTGAATTTTGTATAGAAAAAACAACTTAATTTCGATGAAACGAAGAAGAAATTAAAATTTTTGCGAAATTAAGGTTTGTCTGAACATAGCATAAAGCAACATTATGGATTTGAGGATGAACAATATACTGTGATAAAACTATTAAAAGTGTCCCAACTGAGCTCTGAGAACACAATCAGCGTTCATAATTTAGGTTTCACATTGCTTAAGCCTTGCGCACCGACATAGGTACATAAATTTAATTGCAAAAATTAGCCGTTTTTTTATTTCCGGAAGTTCACGAAAATAATTATCAGCTTTCCCTAAAATAGACATCTTCAAGTGAAAATTAATAATAAACAACAAGTCATCAAAGCAAGAAAAACAGGCATTCTATAAGATTACCAATTTTTTTTAATTCTATGCAATATTTACATGTATTTAGGATGAAATCAGAGCTGCTTTCTCTCTATGCTGATGGAATTAATTTTTCGAAGTGATTATATATGATTTACTTCGCAAAGTTAATTCATATATAATTACTTCGAAAAGTTAGTCTAGTAACATAACACAACACACCCCATAAAAACACATTGTACTTTTAAGAAATAAATATCTTGGAATTAATCAATTTAAAGTTAAGATAAGTGTCTACCATGAAAGTGTTTTGGTATATCAGGTCGAAACACTTTAGTAGAGATCTTCGTATCGGGGGTCTTGGCAGTATATGTGTATACGTGACAAGACTCTAAAATTTCTCAACATAGATTCATATCCGAACGCTACTCTCTTTTAATTTCATTCTACTTGATTTCAAAGAAAAATTAATTTATTCGTTGTTTTGATTGTTAGATTTTTGCTATAAAATTATAATTTTAACTTGATTATATGTAAGTCATTTCTGGTTTATACTGAATGCACATTATAAACTGTAAACTGCGCATGATTTTATTAAAAAGCCTGTTATGTAATACTCTATCAAGAGCGGGACTAACATCGAGAAACACTGCAGAACACTGCTTATGCTCAAACGCAAGTCTTACTCGATCAGTAATTCCGTGATTTTCCTTAAAGTTAAACTAAAAGTAAAAATCAAGTTAAACTGTTGATGACGGATTAGATAATGTTCATTAATGAAGGATTATAGCCTAGTCCAAAGTACCTTGTTAAATAGTTTAGAAATGTGAGTCATAACAGTAAAGAGTTTTCAAGAAAAAACTTATTTAAATAATGTGTATTTAATATCTCATTATGGACCTGTAAAAATTGTGATTTTATCATTTTCTAATACTTTTTTTTATGATTTTGTTTATAATTGTCGTGAGATAATAAGTGTTTAAATTGAAAGCGTTAATATCTTAATTAAAAAAATATTAAATTATATTCAAAAAATTGGTTATTTTAGATAGATTGGATCAATAGCAATATTGCAAAATTACTCAAAACATCCGTTCTAACCCAGAACCAAATCCAATGTTATTGTTAACTAAATCTAACCGCAACTTTTTTCCTTTCACATCCACTCCAACAGACGTGATGTTCTTTTTTTACCCTTGTCTTATTGTTACCCGTATTTTTTGACATGATATTATTTACTATTGTGATAAAGCTAATCTCTACTATTAATAAATCACATTAGATTGGAATTACTGATTCTTTACAAGTCGATGATTAAAATCTACATAGATTTTAATCTTAAGTAGTAGTATTTAGTGGATTAAAATCTCTACTGAAGGCCATAGGGAACATACTAAAAAAAAGCTGCACTCATTCTACGTACCGTAACCTCTAAATGGTTTTCCAAGCTGCGTCTTTGACTCAGACTACAAGAAGTCTACTTTGATTTTTATATTTTGTCAACTCCAATAAAAAAAATTTTTAAGGTTAATTTTTTCTTGCCGATAATGGCGTGTCTTTTTATGACGAAAGAAACTATTTAAAAGTTAGACGGATTCGAATAGCAAAGAAAGGACAAAGACAAAATTACAATAAATTAAAAATAAAAAATTTTTGTCTTTGTCCTTTCTTTGCTATTCGAATCCGTCTAAAAAAAATTTTTAGTTTACGTCTGCAAAATATTATCAATTTTTTTTTTTATGTTCAACAAATTTTATTAAAATAAATAACGCATGCAATTGCATATCTTATCAACTTTAAAAATAATCTGCTTTAATTACCCTTACAAAAATGTACATAATAATTAAGATATTTTAGAAACTAAGTTATTAACTTATCAAATATTATTTTCCCAATACAAAATAAAATAACAAATGTACATATTTACATTAAAATTGGAACGAAAATTTTACAATTTACTCCTTACGTCCTCAATATTATCATCAATTGACCAAGAACTAAGCTCAGCAGGACAGTGACGGTTCAAAAATGGATTAAGATATTTACTCACTTCTTCCGCATTATTCAAGTGTAAGTGATGTGTTCCATCAATTTCGTAATATTCAAAGTGTGGATTATTTTCACGTAGTACCTTTAACATTTCACTCGAATCTTCATTAAGATATGAAGAATTCAAGCCTTTTATCACAAAATATGGAATGTTTCTAATTCTTTTATTTAGTTTTAATGTAAGTTCATAGGTGGCCGTAAAGAGTTCCATATACTTTATTCTATCGTCTGTTGAAAAATAATATTTATCTGGAGATATTTGTGATTTGGTAATGTTACGATATAAAAGGTATTTACAATTCTCAATATCAACGGAACGGCCAAATCCTTCATGAACTATATTTTCTAAAGTTTTGAAATCATATGATTTTGGTTCACTTCTATTTGTTATTTCAGTCATATCATTTCGGCGTCTTATTAGAGTACGTTCAAAACGATTGATTTCAATATCAGTTTTCCAGAAAGCCTGTTTCACTAAATCAATATTAACTATTAAATCCACAGTTGAAGGATATAATGCTGCATAGAGGTATATTACAACTGAACCCATTGAATGTCCCATAAGTGATACTTTTTTCCAATTATATTCTTTTATAATGTGCATAACTATAGTAACATAATCGATCACATGATATTGCATTCCCTGAGGTAAATGCGATGATTGTCCATGTCCAGGAAAGTCAATAGCGAGGATACCAATGTGTTTCGGTAAATGTGGTAGTAATAGATCCCAAGTACCTAAGTTATCCATCCAACCATGCAGTGCTAATATTGGACGTCGATTTCTATTGCCATACCAACGACCAGAAATATATCCCCAAGGCACGGGAACTCGAACATCTTCATACTATTATAAGTTAAATTAAAATTTGAAATATTTATTAAAATTTTTTATAAATAGTGTACTACCTCAACTTTTGAAAAGTCCATTTGAATATCCGAATTGTTAAAAATCTGCACAAACAATTGTTGCTTCAAAACTTCAACAACATTTACCGACCTTTGCTGCTTTCTTCAGTTGCTCGTTTTTGGGAACCAAACTTGTTGCCAGACAATCGAATAAAAAATATTTAAAACATTTTTTGGTTTGTTTGTTTAAACTATACTTATCGCATTGTCTAAATGTTCACAGTTTTTAAGTTTTGTGTGATAAGAAAGCAGTTGTAATCACGATTAGAACATAATCGCCTTAACTTGCAAACGATTAAGAAGATAATCTTTAAACATTTTTATAATTTAAATAATTTATGGAAAGCTTTCTATAGATATTTTTTCTTATTTATGTTTTTTTTTCATTTCACATCAATAGTAATTTGCAGTTTATGTTAATAATGTGTAAATTCTTAGTTGTGTCAAAAATATTAAATATACTTGACAATGGTTAAAAAGAAGTCGAATGTCTTGAAATTTTTATACAGCGTTGCATTTCTATATATGACTCTCCAATTCTTATTCACAATTTCAAGTGTGTCTCATAGTTGAAGATGATTGACAAGTTAGTAATTGTGGAGAAGGTATTCGTAAATTATTTATTAATGAGTTTTTAATTTCTGTTTTATAAATACAGAATATACTTAATGAATAAATATAAAAACACAATCGTTATAATAAAAGCAAAAAGTTATAAGACAATTGCTAGAAAAATAAGTGTTAAATACTGATCATTTGGCTTTAACTAATGATATTTGAAGTTTAAAAGTTATATAAATGAATTTATTGACGATCTCATATTACCTATCCAAAATTTCAAATATTTGGTGAATGCCTTCATTGATAAAGCCTAGAAAAATGTATATTTTTTTTTTATAAATTTAGATACAATATATAATGCTTATTAACCTTTTTTTTGAGTCATTCACTTTTTATATATTTATATAAAAGAACATTTTTTTATAAAATTTGCAGTATTTTTGTATGAACATTTATTTATCGACCACATATTTGTGTCAAATTTTTTTACTTGTCATATGTTTACTGATTTAGGCAGTGATGCCAAGTTATTGTTAAGCAACAAGAAGTTGTTCTATTCGAGCGTTTATATCAAAAGAATACACCTTATGAAAACTAAAATAAAATGTATAAATATATAATAGCTAAAGAAGAACGCATTCCAAGTATGCGCACAAAGTACGAGCACATGCTTTATCGTATCTATCATGCGTTACGTACTGATCTTTTTATATTGATTTGTTTGATAATATATGTAATACTTAATATGCCGTAAAAAACAAAATGTCTCTTACTAAAGTCTCTAATTTGTATCAAAAAATACAGTACTACTCTTTCCTACTTTATTACCATTGTTTTTACCACGTTTTTTTATTTAAATTTTTTAATAAATAAATTCATTTTAATACCAAATTTAATTTGGCTTGATTTTTACGTATATACGTAGACTTATTAATATATAATATTTGCCTAGTTTTTTACCGCACTTTGCTGCAATACAAAAACATGCGAACGGAGCAGTAGTAGTAACCGTAAATCGAAGTAGTAACCGTAAAATCCACAAACATTTTTTAAGGATCTCCGTCCATACTTCCAAAAAATTAACAGTAAATCGCACTACGATTTCTCCAAAGGAACAATTGTGTGTGATCTCACGATATTAGTCTACTAGGGAAAGCTTTAAAAGTTTGGAGAATCAATCTATCACATACATGTTGTATTATTAAAGTTAGGAATGTTATATGAGATAACATGAGAAATCTCTATTTGCAGGTAAATTAAGTATTTATATTTAAAATATATATTTTAGTACACATTAATGAAATTACATTAAGATTTACGGATACGAAATAAGTAAAAAAAGTGTAGTAATACCATGTTCGCACTGTCTCATTTAGGCACTTGCTCATTTATATAAATTAGGAAGCGTTCACATATAATAAGTTAATTTATACAGCTTTTAGATCTTTTATATGTCAAAAAAGCTATAAAAAAACTTTCTTTTATTTACAAATAAAACACAAAGAAAAATAACGGTTTTGTGTACAATATTGTGTAATGCATTTACATTAATAAGCAACAAGGTTAATCAACAAGGTGCATCAGGGGACTTGAAGTTTTCAATTTTCCATAAAGTTTAGGTGCAATGGGTAAGTTTTCAACTTATTATTACTGAAACATATTAATTGTAAACAACATTAAAGATGAGAGCCACATTGAAATAAAACCAGAATCTCAGAATGGTGTTAACTACTACAACTACAAAGGGTGGTACTCGATCGTTTTGTTTGCCTTCGTAGATTATAGGTAAGTAATTTATGCGTAAATAAACAATGGAATTTCAACAAATTTATAAATGAATATAAAAATTCAATAAATATATTTTATTGTTTATTTACAGATACCGTTTTTTTTATAAAAATGCTGTGTATCCTGGAAAACTCATCACTAAAGAGGCAGTTAGAAAATTACATTGCTCTAGAGGACAAAAGTAGGGTGAATAATGATGTCAGAATACCCGTCTTGATTCTCGGTGATTCTGCGTTACACGATTCTGCTGTGTTCTTCACAACTTTTTAAATGAAAATAGTGATGTACTGAAAAAAAGTTGGTTATGCGCTCTGAAAAAACAACAGCTAGTTTTAGAACGACAACTAGAATTTTCATTATTAAATGACGGCGATCTAAATGGAGAGGAAATAGGACGATGTTTACTACATTTTTTAGTAAGTTTTATTAGAAATTAACTTAATTCTAATTATTAATTTTGTAGCTTTAAATAACTTAATCTAACTATCCTAAATATTTACATCCTATTTATTTATTAGGTACTTACTATTATTACTCACATAATTATTACTCAGTTACTTACTGCTGTTCTTCTCACTTAGTGGAGCATTGGGCCTCACATTTATTATTAACCATTAATTAATCTTACTATACTAATTATTATTCACTTTTATAACTTAAATATTTTTTAACTGTTATTATTTATTATACTTACTATCATTATCTTTCATTTAGAGTAGACCAGACAGTATTCATTGAAGAGGTTGTGGCCTTATAAAGTGGAACTATAGAAACTGGTTGGCTTATGTGAAGCATTATTGTATAGATTGTGATCTTATATAAAACTTTTAGACGGAACTGATGACGCTACACTGTTAGCATATGGAAACTTCTACAGCATTTGCACTGAACTTTTGAAGCTTCTGTGGTATTTGGTCTTGGCTGGGCGATAGCGGTTTGATAGATTATGTCTTATGTCTTACATAAAACTTTTGGTCGGGTTTAGACGATGCTATGGGTTAGTTGTCTTTTGTGACGCTTCCGCGATATTTGCGCTGTACTGGAAACCCAGGATAGGTTTTGAACTTCTTAGCAGATCCAATTTAAATTTTGCGTACATTTTTTGACTTATTTTTTGCACGATTTGATGCAAATTAAACCTAAAACTTAATTTTATGGTATTATGGTATTAGTGTGAATTGTAGCAATTCACGTTTATTTTGCTGCAACGAGCACTTACCTTTGAGGCCTGTGGATAATAATCATATCTTGAATTTTAAAATCAGAAACTTTAGGTGTGAAAAGGACAACATTCATTTCAATAATATTTGCAAAATTTTAGCAATTAAACAAGCTATATATTTACAAATTTTAATAAAAGTTAAATACAGAGAAAGAAATGTTAAACAGAAACTCTCCTAACTGTGCAATGTTGATAGTCATTTCATTTGTTAATGCCAAATTCATTTCTGAAAAGTTTGATTAGCTTAATCAAATAAAGTGGTGGTCTCGCCGGTGTCTACTAGGGTTCTCACTGCATATATATACATAATGGTATATCTTATCGAATGAAACAATTTTAATGTTTGATTACAATAAAAATATATACATAATCTTTAAGATATTTTAAAAATTAATTTGAACACTTTTTATTTGGTACATATATATAATTTACCCAAGTACATATTTACTAATATATATATTGTATAAAAATATTAATAAAAAATATGTACATATTCACATTAAAATAAGAACAAAAATTTTACAATTTACTCCTTGCATCCTCATTATTATCATCAATACACCAAGAACTAAGCTCGGCGGGGTAGCGACGGTTCAAAAATGGATTAAGATATTTACTCACTTCTTCCGCATTATTTATATGTAAGTGATGTGTTCCATCAATTTCGTAATATTCAAAGTGTGGATTATTTTCACGTAGTACCTTTAACATTTCACTTGAGTCTTCATTAAGAAATGAAGATTTCAAACCTTTTATCACAAAATATGGAATGTTTTGTATTCTTTTATTTAATTCCAGCGTTACTTCATATGTAGTAGTAAAAGGTTCATAATACTTGATTCTCTTATCTCTGGAAAAATAATATTTATCTGGAGATGTTTGTGATTTTGTTATGCTGCGATATAAAAGATATTTGCAATTCTCAATATTAACGGAACGACTAGACGTTTCATGAACTATATTTTCTAAAGTTTTAAAATCGTATGATTTTGGTTCATTTTTCTTAAATTCAGTTATATCACTTAAACGCTTTATAAAAGTACTTTCATAACGATTAATTTCATTATCAGCTTTCCGGAAAGCCTGTTTCACTAAATCAATATTAACTATTAAGTCCACAGTTGAAGGATATAATGCAGTATATAGGTATATTACAATAGAACCCAATGAATGTCCCATAAGTGAAACTTTTTTCCAATTATATTCTTTTATAATATGCATAACTGCAGTAACATAATCGATCACATGATATTGCATTCCCTGAGGTAAGTGCGATGATTGTCCATGTCCAGGAAAGTCAATAGCGAGGATACCGATGTGCTTCGGTAAATGTGGTAGTAATAGATCCCAAGTACCTAAGTTATCCATCCAACCATGCAGTGCTAATATTGGACGTCGATTTCTATTGCCATACCAACGACCAGAAATATATCCCCAAGGCACGGGAATTCGAACATCTTCATACTATTATAAATTAAATTAAAATTTAAAATATTTATTAAAATTTTCTATAAATAGAGTACTACCTCAACTTTTGAAAAGTTCATTTGAATATCCGAATTGTTAAGAATCTCAACAATTGTTGCTTCAAAACTTCAACAACATTTACTGACCTTTGCTGCTTTCTTCAATTGCTGATTTTTTGGGAAGTAAACTTGTTGCCAGACAATCGAATTAAAAATATTTAAAATATATTTTGGTCTTGTTTGTTTTAATTATACTTATCGCATTGTGTAAATGTTTATAATTTTTAAGTTTTGTGTTATAAGTGAGCAACTCTAAACACAATTAGAATATAATCAACTTAATTTGCGTGCAGGTCTATTTTTAGCAGTTTTACTTAGAAGATAATTTTTCAACATTTTAAGAGATTGTTAAATATTAATGGAAGGTTTGCTACTTCAAATTCTAATCGTACATTTATCTTTCACATTTTTATCTGCTTAATCACATACAATAGGTCTCTTCCCGTGCTTCTCAAGTTTGAAATGGGTATAAAATCGTATTTAATTTCTGTGAAAGAATAGTTTACGCATCACATATATATCTAATAAATCCTATGTTATTATTCCTACTCAGAATTTCATTGCAATAAAGAAATAATGATTTTTACATTTCATACTCATTTCTCGTAGGCTTAACCCATTAGGTACCAGCCAATTTCAGACTTGAAATTTCATCAGACTCTCTCATCTTACAGATTTGGTTACAGAAACAGAAAATAATAAAATTCAAGTAACTTTTCCTGATCACTGATGAAGACCACTGATGAAGGGTATTTGGCAATACTCGAAACAGCTGTATGGTCAGCCAAAAATTCAATTAATTAAAATAATTTAAAAAATAAATTTTTGTTGTTGTTTCACTTCTGTTCGAAAACCTCTTTAAGTAACTTTTCCTTTAAATTTTACTAGAAATATGTTCAAAAATAGACAATATGTTAATACCATATAAGTTATCAAGAAACCATATCTAAAGTGAATGTTGAGTCCATCTATTTTCCAAATTAAATTGTTCAATTAGTTGGCTCAAACAAAACTGACTGCTACTTCATGAGTTTTAAATAAAATAACGAATACTTAGTTGGATTTGAGGGCACAAATATAATTTATTAAATATTATATGGATAAGAGATAGTGCACTGCGACCTAAATGATTTATTGTCCACCTTAATCGGATTAAAGTGTTTCTCCAAGTCCAATTTCTTTATTAAAAGACAATTTCGAAGTTGTCTTTCCTAGCCTTAATTCCCTATTTTATATAAAAGACCCTCCTAGGTATTTCTTCCACTTCTGCATCAGTGCCGTGTAAACTCCTAGCAAATGGCATCCGGTTTCTCTCTCTTCCCTTCAGTATCTGCAGTCCAAGTTTGATTGAATTCCTAACTTTGTTAGGTGATTATTCAATCTCTAATAACCGGTTAGTATTCCCGTAATAATTCTTCAGTTATTTTGTTAGTCCTATGCAATTCATAAAACATTTTAGGGTGTAAGTCCGCAGAAAGGTTCTGGGACTGTCATCATTGCTGCACCTTACCTTGCAAGTTTGTCAGCCGCCTCATTACTTAGGATTCCAGAGTGATCCGGAATCCATATTAAGTGCACTTAATTGTTTCAACCAAGTATGTCCAGATTGTCAATGCACTTCAATAACAGTTTAGATGTCACCTGGTAAGTCATGAGTACTATTGTAGTTGCCTGGCTGTCAGTCAGTATTGCAAATGTATAGTTCCGGTAGTTGCGTTCAAGGTTGAAGCTGGCGCACTTATCTATCGCGTATCTCCGCTTGAAAGGTAGTTACATTACTTCCCAGTGCTTCCGAATATCTTTTACCTGGGTCATATACACTAGCTCCAGCTCTAAGTATTACATCCATCACTGATGAGCTAAATTTAATTTAGAAACATTTAAAAAAAATCTGTAGACAACCCTATCATAGCTAACAAATTTATAGTTAATCTATGAGGCTTATTCAAAACAGACTATTAAAACTCTATTTCTATTTTTATTTTAATGTAATTAATTTGATCGAAATCTATTTAATAGAAGTATAAACCTAAACAGAAGTATAAAATTCTGATTCAAATTTCAGTAGCCAAATATTACTTCAAAATAACTGTAGCTTGACTTATTGGTGGTTTATGTGAGTTCATTACACTATATCTTTGCCAAATAATATCGGATTTTTATAAACTCATGCTTAAAATTTTTGTAAGATTTTGTACTTCCCTTGAATAACATAATATGTCCTCTGTACGGTGTATCCAGATATTAACTAATATACAATAATTAAATACATATAGAGCAGATATCATAAATTTTCAAATACATTTCATTATAACATTTTTATGTTTTATATAATTTATGGAAGAATTTCTACAGAAAATATTTTTATTTAATAGATTTAATATTTATTATTATAAGTTTTATAAAAAATGTAATTCAAAATATTTCACACAATGCTAATGCTACATTTAACTTTCAATATTTTATCTCCTTCCTCACATATATTAATTAAATATTTTTTTTTCTTAATACTGTAATTGCCAGCATATTATCAATGTTAGGTTATACCGGCGATCCCTTGGGAATCCACTTATAACCTTTGGCCCATTGATTACCAATATTAGGCCTTTAAAAAAGGCCTCTATATTCAGCATTCACTGAATATACGTAAGAAATTACATATCTTATCGTATTAAAAATATGTTAATCTTTAATTACGTTACAAAAATACACACAATTGTTTAGATATTTAAGAAACTACTTTATTAACCTATTACTTAATAAATATCATTTTCCCAATACAAAATAAAATAAAAAATGTACATATTTACATTAAAATTGGCACAAAAATTTTACAATTTACTCCTGGCATCCTCATTATTATCATCAATACACCAAGAACTAAGCTCGGCGGGGTAGTGGCGGTTCAAAAATGGATTAAGATATTTACTCACTTCTTCCGCATTATTCATGTGTAAATGGTGAGTTCCATCAATTTCATAATATTCAAAATGTGGATTGTTTTCACGCAGTATCTTTAAAACTTCATTTGAATCCTCATTAAGAAACGAAGATTTCAAACCTTTTATCACAAAATATGGAATGTTTTGTATTCTTTTATTTAATTCCAGTGTAAGTTCAGAGTTAGCCAAAAATGGTCTACAATATTTGATTCTCTTATCTCTGGAAAAATAATACTTATCGGGAGATATTTGTGATTTGGTTATGCTGCGATTTAAGAGATATTTACAATTCTCAATATTAACGGAACGGTCAGATCCCTCGTGAATCATGTTTTCCAAAGTTTTAAAATCGTATGATTTTGGTTCATTTCTATTTGATGTAATTTCAGTCATATCATTTAGTCGCTCTATAAAGCTAAGTTCATAGAAATAAATTTCAAGATCTGCTTGCCAGAAGGCTTGTTTTACAAAATCGAAGTTAACTATTAAGTCCACAGTTGATGGATATAATGCTGTGTAAATATATACCACAACTGAACCCATTGAATGTCCCATAAGTGAAACTTTTTTCCAATTATATTCTTTTATAATATGCATAACTGCAGTAACATAATCGATCACATGATATTGCATTCCCTGAGGTAAGTGCGATGATTGTCCATGTCCAGGAAAGTCAATAGCGAGGATGCCAATGTGTTTCGGTAAATGTGGTAGTAATAGATCCCAAGTACCTAAGTTATCCATCCAACCATGCAGTGCTAATATTGGACGTCGATTTCTATTGCCATACCAACGACCAGAAATATATCCCCAAGGCACGGGAACTCGAACATCTTCATACTATTATAAGTTAAATTAAAATTTGAAATATTTATTAAAATTTTTTATAAATAGTGTACTACCTCAACTTTTGAAAAGTCCATTTGAATATCCGAATTGTTAAAAATCTCCACAAACAATTGTTGCTTCAAAACTTCAACAACATTTACCGACCTTTGCTGCTTTCTTCAATTGCTGATATTTTGGGAAGTAAACTTGTTGCCAGACAATCGAATTAAAAATATTTAAAACATTTTTTGGTTTGTTTGTTTTAATTTTACTTATCGCATCGTGTAAATGTTCATAGTTTTTAAGTTTTGTGTGATAAGAAAGCAGTTGTAATCACGATTAGAACATAATCGCCTTAACTTGCAAACGATCAAGAGGAATCTTTAAACATTTTGATATTATAAACAATTTATTGAAGGCTTTCTTCAGAAAATTTTTTTTCATATTTTACACAAATGTGATGGAATTTTGTGAATTAATATTTTTTAAAAAATTTTACACAATATTGATGACACATTTAATTTGCAATGGTTTATCTCCTTGGCTAAATGTAGTTAGAAATATTCAAAAATTCACATTATAAATTATAATAACTTATTAATTAAATATTTATGTTCTATTAATATTTCCTTAAAAAACCTCATGATATTTTATGAAAACATAATGAAAAATTAATGATCGGCTCACAAATTTTTGCAGCTTTTATTTTCCTAAAAGGGATTTCCCTTCAAAAGACACTAATATGGCGTTTACATTGGCCGAAAATGGCTCATTTTGGTCAAAAATCGAAAATGAGTAGCGAATGGCTCATTCTTGCATATAAAATTTCAAGCATTTACACTGACCGAAAATGGCTCATTTTAGTCAAAAATCGAAAATGAGAAGCGAATGGCTCATTCTTGCATATAAAATTTCAAGCGCAAATAAGCCATTCCATCACATTCTGTATGAATGCGTCCCAAATGCAAAGAAATACATTGAACATACCCTAAATAAAAGCTTTTCATGACATTTTGACAGTTTGAAAAAGCTGTTTTTGACATATTTAGAAAAAAAGGTAAACAAATTTTTAGTGGTTGCACTTCCTTGAAAACTATGCACCTCTTTTTAGAACTTCTACTTTACAATTATTTTACGCTCACCAAAAATTCTTAAATTATTTAATTCTTAAAATAAATTACGCAATCAGACATGTGTGCACACTTAACAAGTAATTTAAAAGTTTTAATTTTACCGCATATATGTCTCAGACCGAAATTTGATATGGAAACTTGAATATAGACAGTGCGATTTGGTAGTACGCATACCTTGTCTGAAAACATGTAGCATCGTCTATATCCTGCTTTAGCGTAACTGGTAGCACTCTTACTCGGTTATCTAGTGCGTTATTTAAACTCGTGAATAACCCTACTGTTTTTCAACATTTAGTTATTGATAAACTAACGCACATCTGACTAAAAATTAAAAAGTTTTGATTGCACTTTGCCAGTTGGTCAGACGAGTTCTTTTTACTCAGCTATAACATATCTAAGACAAAAGGTCTGTTCCTGTTCTTTTCAGGCAATTAGGCTTTAAAATAGAAATAGAATAATTACTCTTACCTGAAAAAAGAAGTTTAAACAGAAAATATGCGAACGCTTTCAAGGAAAAATTTGTTGAATTATATATTTTTATTCCTATTGAGTCTTTTGTTTGAGCGAAGATATAATGATTTATAAATTTCATATTGTTTTTTTATAAGTTTCAGTCTTAATTATGACATTGGATTAATTTCATTTATATTTCTCAGTATACTGAAAATATATACAGACAAACATCCATAACTCGAACTTTTATAACTCCAATTTGTCTATAACTCGACAAATATTTTGTTCCGTGCCGATAGGAATATGGGAAAGTGCATTCCATAAGTCGAATCTTTGTTTTAAGTATAAATGTATTTCGCTGTTAGGGGAAGTCCCTTTTTCCAAACCAAATGTTTAATGTTTTCTCTCTTATGCTGCATCTTTATACAAATGTTAGTAGATGGCGGTGTGGTTTAAAGTAAATAAAATAACTTCCAATGCTACTCTTAATGATTATATTGAGCTTGACAATGATATTTGTACATCAAACTTTCCGTTTGATGCACTATAGCTCTAAATTATTGGATCCAATTCTAAGCGCAACGGAAAGTGATAATGAGGGTTCGTTGGATGTAAGTGTTCATCAGCCTTCTAAGAATGAAGTAGAAGACTCATTCAAAATTCTGAATTTATATTTCCAAACCAATGACAGTATAACTGATAATCACTATAAAAGTACGAATAAAGTGGAATCTCTTTTTACTGAAAATAGGAAAAAAAAATTAGTGAACGAATAAATTTGCCGTTTTAAAAACGAAAACGTTACTGTCATATCCATATTTATAACACAACTCATCAATTCTTTTTCTAATTCATATCAATTATAATCAAATAAATTTTTAAGTAATAGTAAAGTAAATTTTTTACTGTGCGAAATAACTACTTGTCCTCACCAATTCTCTCATGGTACAGACTATAGAACAGACCTATATAAAATTTAAATTAAATATCGGATGTTATGGAGTTTAACGGAAATATGTTTAAACTTATAAACCTAAAGTAAAAAAACGGAATTTTAATTTAGTTTGTTAAATGCTATTTAAAAAAAACCCTAGCCTATTTTATAAGTGATTTGTGTGAAGTTCTTTTTACTATATCTTTACCAAATAATATCGGATTTTTATAATTTTATGCTTAACATTTTTATAAGCTTCTATATTTCATTTGCCTTCAAAAATGAGTACTAGCCGAGGAAGTATTGATTGCAATGGTCTAAACTCTAAAACATCGTGTCTTGGTATACAATTTTATCAAAAAGTGTAGATCTCTAACAAATCAGCTCGCCCCAACATATAAAATATATATTGTAAACATACCTTTTGTATATTTAGCTGCTAATTAATGCTCAATATCAATAAATTTGATAAATTTTAAAATGATCTATTTTAACCATTAAATTTTGATTTTTAAATTATTAAAATTTTTTACACAACTACTTCTCTAGACTTTTAATTTTATTTAAACGTTTGACACTTTATTTAGCGAAATCTGATGAGATATTATAGAAACGATATGAAATATTCATTTTATATATATACATTATTGCATATCTTATCAAACTATCATGAATTAGGTTATAAAAATATACATAATCTTTAAGGTATTTTAAAAACTAATTTATATACTGCTATTTATTCAATAAATACGATTTTCCCAAATACAAAGTCCACAAAAAAAATTTACATATAAAATATTTTATAATTTGCTTCTTGTGTCCACATTAATATTATCATCAATTGACCAGGAACTAAGCTCGGCGGGGTAGTGACGGTTCAGAAATGGATTGAGATATTTACACACTTCTTCCGCGTTATTCATGTGTAAATGATGGGTTCCATCAATTTCGTAATATTCAAAGTGTGGATTATTTTTGCGTAGTATTTTTAAAACTTCACTGGAGTCTTCATTAAGAAGCGAAGATTTCAAACCTTTTATCACAAAATATGGAATATTTTTTATTCTTTTATTTAATTCCAGTGTTAGTTCATACGTAGTAATAAATGGTTTACAATACTTGATTCTCTTATCTCTGGAAAAATAATATTTATCGGGAGATATTTGTGATTTGGTTATGCTGCGATATAAAAGATATTTGCAATTCTCAAAATCAACAGAACGACCAGATCCTTCGTAAATCATATTTTCCAAAGTTTTAAATTCGTGTGATTTTGGTTCACTTCTATTTGTTGTTATTTCAGTCATATCATTTAGTCGCTCTATAAAGCCACGTTCATAAAAATAAATTTCGAGATCCGTTTTCCAGAATTCTTGTTTTACATAATCGAAGTTAACTATTAAGTCCACAGTTGATGGATATAATGCTGCATAGAGGTATACTACAACTGAACCCATTGAATGTCCCATAAGTGATACTTTCTTCCAATTATATTCTTTTATAATATGCATAACTGCAGTAACATAATCGATCACATGATATTGCATACCCTGAGGTAGGTGCGATGATTGTCCATGTCCAGGAAAGTCAATAGCGAGGATGCCGATGTGCTTCGGTAAATGTGGTATTAATAAATCCCAAGTACCTAAGTTATCCATCCATCCATGTAGTGCTAATATTGGACGCCGATTTCTATTGCCGTACCAACGACCGGATATATGTCCCCATGGCACGGGAATCTGAATATTTTCGTGCTATTGTAAAATAAATTATAATTTGAAATATTTATTAAAGTTTTTACTAAGTAGAATTTTACCTCAACTGTTGAGAAGTCCATTCGAATTTTCGAATTGTTTAAGAGTCTTTAAAAAGAAATATTTTTGCTTTAAATGCTCTGGAACATTTCTGACCTTTGCTGCTTTCTTCAATTGCTGACTGAGTTCGAATAAAAATTTGTAAAGCATTTTTTGGTATAAATAAATAAATAAAGTTTTGTTTATTTTAATTCTACTTATTGCAATGTGTAAAGGTTAATCAGTTTTAAGTTTAATGTGATAAGAGAGCATTTCTAAGCACAATTCGGAACATAATCGTCATAACATGCGGACGACAACTAATTTTTAAAGTTTGCCTAAAAAGATAATTTTAGATTGTAAATAATTTCTCCCATAAATTTAAAAATACTTTTTCTCTTAAAATGGAATTTTTATATTAAAAATGTTTTGAAGAGAAAGTTTTTTACAAAAAATTTAACACAATTTTGCTATTTCATACATTAAATATATTTTTTCTTCTTGGTCACGTTTATTCCCTAATTTTTTTCCTTAGTACTGCTATTGTCGGCATTTTACCAATGTTAGTTGTAATTTTGGATTGAGTTGGGAACTGTACCTTCTTCGGTATGCGTTGATTGATCACGTTGAGAACATATGATCTCCAGTTATTTTCTTATTATTATTGATTATTATGTTAATAATATGAATAGTAAAAAGGTATTTAAATTAGCTGGCAAGTAAATTAATTAGTTGTTTATTGCATTAGATATGTCTAGTATTTTATATAACTCATTCATCATGTTGGCAGATTACATTAGTATATGTATTATTACAATATACATCCCCAAATGAAATGTCGGTCAATTCTTTTAAAATTAATTTAAATTTTAAAAAAGATTCTTTTTCCAATTCTCTACCATTGTAAACTAAATATTAATTATTAGTTTTTTCTTTAATTTAATTAACTAAAATGCTTAAAATTACTGAAGTAATTATCTCTAACATTAGCGTCATTTAAATTTTTTACATATTTTACACTGCTAGACCAAGTGCTCAACGCAAAAGTAAAATATAGGAAGAGCACGATATTAATTAGAGTTCTTAATTTTTATAGAAAATTAAATATTTGAATAATTAAGTAATTAATTAAAAGCTAAATCTGCTAGACGAATCAAAGCAGGTGTCGATTCTCTGGGTACCAGGACATACTGGCATACGCGAAAACAAATACGCAGACAAACTAGCCAGGAAAGGAGCGGCCACACCGATGATGGGTCGGAAACTTTCTGTGGATTAGGACAAAGTACCCTCCTTTTTCTCATAAAAATAGAGGAGAACCAGAACAAAAAGGATTACTGCGATAATAATCCAGGATTAACACAAACTAAACCATTTATTGATAGCTATAACAATAGAAGATACCAGGATTGTGTGAACCTATAGAAAGAAAAACTTAGAATCATTACAGGATTCCTAATAGGACACTGAACTTACGCTTAATAGGTCGCTTCTTCTACCTTTGCTTCTGTATGGCGTACGTCCTGTATACATGGAAGTCATCACAGAATGATGATACTCTAAGATACTCTAGTCTGGACTTATCAATTACTTCTAATTGAATGTCTACACTGTCTTAACTTTAACAAGATTTTTAGGTTCGAATGTAAATGTTTCATTTTGAGATTTTTATCTAACTACAAAAATTTATTTGTATTAAAGAAAAATCTTGCCAAACAATAGACAGTGTAGACGCAATCTTATATATTATATATATTTATACGTGAAGACACTAGTCTATTAAATTTTAAAAATTTCCTGATTGATTATATACTTTATATAATCACTGTGTACTACTAAAATACTACTAAACTATGGGTGGAATTAAAAGATATATAAAATAAGAATAGTTTAATAAAAAAAAGTGCTTAAAACAATTGGTTAAAAGTTTACTATAGGCGGGTATATAAAATAAGTTGTTAAAGATATTTTCAGGCGATAAGAAATTAAAAAAACCACTTCTAAATTTGTTATTTTTTCATTTTTTACATATATAACTATTAAAAAATTATTTAAACTAGAAAAAACTTTTCACAGTTCTCTGATTGAGTTCCATTATACCGCCAATAATTCCCCCAGAAGGAAAGGGATCTCAATATACTGCGGTACATATTTTTTAACGAGAAATACGACCTTTTTCAAACACGCTGATTTGGACTATTATGGGGCTTAAGAAACAATAAATATAAAATTTTCAGAAATTTTTTTATATAGTTTTGATTAAACATATAGTATAATTATCCAAGAATGAAATTAAATAAAAACTTCTTCAAAAAATTTACATATTTACATAACAAATCAAATTATAATTTACTTTTTGCGTTTATATTGTTATTAGCATCAATCAAACAAGAATTAAACTCGGCGGAGTAGTGACGACTCAGAAATGGATTAAGGTGCTTACACACTTCTTCCGCATTATTCATGTGTAAATGATGGGTTCCATCAATTTCGTAATATTCAAAGTGTGGATTATTTTTGCGTAGTATTTTTAAAACTTCACTGGAGTCTTCATTAAGAAACAAAGATTTCAAACCTCTAACCAAGAAATATGGAATATTTTTAATTCTTTTATTCAACTCCAGTGTTAGTTCATAGGTAGCCGTAAAAGGTTCATAATACTTTAACCTCTTATCTTTGGAAAAATAATATTTTTTTGGAGATATTTGTGATTCGATTATGCTTCGACATAGAAGATATTTGGAATTATTAACATCCACGGAATAACCAGATCCTTTATGAATTATGTATTCTAAAGTTTTATACTCATAAGATTTTGGTTCGCTTTTATTTTCCAATTCAGTTATATCATTTGACCGCTGTATTAAACTACCTTGAAGACGTTTAATTTCACTATCAGCTTTCCGAAAAGCCTGTTTCACTACGTCAAAGTTAACTATTAAATCCACAGTTGATGGATATAATGCCGTATATATGTATATTACAACACAGCCCATTGAATGTCCCATTAATGAAACTTTTTTCCAATTATATTTTTTTATAATATGCATAACAACAGTAACATATTCTATCACATGATATTGCATTCCCTGAGGATAGTGCGATGATTGTCCATGTCCAGGAAAGTCAATGGCAAGAATACCAATGTGTTTCGGTAAATGTGGTATTAATAAATCCCAAGTACCTAAGTTATCCATCCAACCATGCAGTGCTAATATTGGACGTCGATTTCTGTTGCCATACCAACGACCAGAAATATGTCCCCAAGGCACGGAAATTCGAATATCTTCGTACTATTACCAAAACAAGTTTTATAAAAATATAATTTAAAATGCTTATTAAAATATTTTTTAAATAGAAAACTACCTTATTTTTTGAAAAATCCATTTAATCTCGAATTCTTAATGCTTCAGAAATACTTCTTCTGTTTATACTTTTTATTAGTATTTACCGTTTAGTTTTTTTAAACGTGCTTTTTGAAAAGTAAGCTTGTTGCCAGATAATTAACATACATACATTTTGCAAAATATTGTTTGACATGTGTATTCTTTTTTTTGTGTATCATTGAAAAGAACCGCAATTTTATAAACAAGTAGAACATGAAAAGTTTACAGAAATATTAAGGACGTGTGCGAGTTAGGCTAAGTTGATGCTAAACCAAATGGGAGATTTTTTGGGATTTTTTGCACTGCACATATTTAGCCATTTATCAACACGTATCGACACATCACTACATTATCGGCACAACTTAGAATTTCCCTCATTTAGAACGCAACTTAGCCTAACTCGCACACGACCTAAATATTGTTCATATATCACATAAAACATTTCAAACATATTTCTTTGTAACTAATAATACATTCACACAGTCTCATTTAGAAACACTTGCTAATTTATATTTATGACTAAACATTCACTTTATAATGATTCATTTATGCAGCTGACAGAACTTTTATGAACTTCACTTAATAATATCTTCTTTTTCTTATTTGACACTACAGCCCAGTGTGAAGCTTGACCTCAGTGATATATCACACAAAAAATTAAGTATATAATTGAGATATAAAATCATTTTTATACATATTATATACCAATTATATATTCAATTAGTAAAAACAAAGATTTCATTAAATACTTACTTCATCATTGCCTTTGTTTATAGCTCAGCTGTTTGTTTGTTTCATTTAAAACATATTATGAGTGTCTATTGTGAATGTTCACTTGAATAATAGGCCTTTTCGGTGGCTCGCAAGTACGGCAAAAAATGCATGTTGGCCTATGTTGGCCACGCAAGTCATTGGCATCACTGTTGCAATCTGTCAAATGTTTTGTTTTGACAAACAGCAAATCTTGTATATGTGCATATAAATCAAATATATATTTATAAAAATATTATAAAATTAAAATGAACATGGAATTAAAAGGAATGATAAGAATATTGGAAATTTAAAAATAAAACACTAAGATAAGTAAATTTTTGTAGGTACTGTCGTGTTGGGAGAAGGAAGCAACGTTTTGCAGTGGCCGAGGGATGCAAGTTGTTTCACGGATTTTTTAAATGTTATGAATGCCGCAACAACCTCCTGTGAAGATTCTCTTCCTTTCGTGTCAAGTAGCACTCTAGAAAACACTTCGTTTCCTTTGTAGTCCATAGTTTGGGTGTATTTCTATAAAAAAATTTTTAGTAAAACTTCAAAAATTATGTTTGTTTATTAATTTTACGTATGTAAACTACAAATTAAATGAAATAAAATAAATGTTACTTGGTAATAACTAACATAATAAAAAATTCAATGTGCTTAATACTTACGATTTCTCCATTCTTATTATTTCTTCGTTACTTTTCAAGATTTTTCAAATTTTTGAATTCTGTTTGAATTTTTATTTCCTCAATTTTTGACATTTGATTGCACTATTCGTTGGAATTTTCAATGAAGGTTCACAATAGTTCGCTTATTGCGTTGGTAACATTTTTTTTTTTACTGGCCGATGTGGTTGGCCAGCATAACTATGCTGGCCGAGGTAGAGAAAATAGTGTTGTTGTTTTGCATACATTGCGGCCAGTATAGGCCTGCATAGGCCAACAACTTGCTGTTTTTTGCCGTACTTGCGAACCACCGAATACGCCTAATGTTGCTAAATTCTAGTCATCCCTTAAAAGCATATAAACGTTTAATCCAGTAATTAATTCAAAAACAAATAAATTAATTTAAATATATAAGATAAAATTATTTATTTTATTTTCTTCTGTTTGAAATAATTAATTTTTAGTGTTTACAAGTTTTATATATCATATTGTACACAACGCAATAAAAAACATGTCAAAAATATGCATTTAACTAATTTTAAAAGTGATCCCAATTTATTTCAACCAAACTTAATGCAGTTTTTTACAACTATGAAACAAATATTTACGGTTGTAGTTACTTTAGCAATTCGGTTTGTTTTATGTGTTCCACATGCGCAAGGTATATTATGCTTGATATAAGTGTGGCATCACATTTTCATTAAATATTATTTTTATTGTAACGGCAACTCTACTTGTGACTTGACATTTCTATATGAAACAAGCCAGTCATTTAGCGAATTTGCGTTGTGTTTCGCCGGAGTCTTTTTTATTTAATAATATACACAGAAATAAATATGGTGAATGGTATGGATTGGATGGATAAAGCTGTTAGCACCGGTGTAAGTAAAAATTTATTGCAATATTAGTCGAAAATTAATTAATACTTGAATATTTTAGACTACCATTATGGCAGTCGAATTCGAAGGTGGAGTTGTTATTGGTGCTGACTCGCGTACAAGTTCAGGCTCATATGTAGCAAACAGAGTCACTGATAAGCTGACTCGAATCAGTGATAAAATATACTGTTGCCGAAGTGGATCCGCTGCTGATACACAAGCAATTGCTGATATTGTTGCATACGCATTGGAATATCAAGAAAACCAAACAGATCAGCCACCATTGGTTTCAGATGCCGCTCATGAATTTCGTAATTATTGTTATAATTATCGTTCATCATTGGTAGCGGGAATAATAGTTGCTGGCTGGGATGTTCATAAGGGCGGACAAGTATTTACTATACCATTAGGTGGCATGGTTAAACGTGAACCAGTTGCAATTGGTGGTTCTGGCTCTGGTTATATATATGGGTTTATAAAGGAATTATATCATCCTGGCATGAGCAAAGAGGAATGTGTTGAACTCGTTAAAAAAGGTATTTAATTAAAGCTACAATGTAAGTTAATTTACCATATAAATGTATTGTTTTAATTTTTAGCTGTTCGTCATGCTCAGACATTTGATGGAAGCTCCGGAGGTGTTGTAAGAATTGGTATTGTTACTGCCAATGGACTTGAACGTAGAACTTTCTTTAGCACTCCAAGTGGTGAAGGTGTAGCAACTGATAAAACTGCCGGTGTAGAACATTTGCTATTTTAAAATTTCAAAGTGTATCTAATTGAGCCTTGAAGGATCTTTTTAAAAATTTATAATAAAATGGTTAGTTTATACGAAAATAATTCAAATGTTTTTAATATTTAAAATATGTCTTCAGATTTCACTAATTTAAAACAAATAACGACATTTTTGCTGCACAAGTTAAATTTCAGTAAACAATAAAATTTAAGCTTTTCTTTCCAAATCTATGCCGGTACCTAAGGTATGAATCAGACGGATTATGATTAGTAATTCTTTATTTCTGAAAAACCATTGAAACTGATATCTTCGCCTTACTAAAGAGCTCTTCTTAATTTCAACATTAAAAATTAATGTTGAACTTAATTTAAAAATTCTCAGACATTCCATTAATTTAAATGTCAAACATAAAACCCACCAGTTTATATAGTCTCTGTTGGTGTGGTAAATGATAATAGTCGTATGCATAAACGAATGGCTCAGAGAAGTACATCGTGGCATACCTAGAACCTTCTCTCTTTCAACACAACCACACTTCCATTACCTCGGGAAGGTATGCAGATCTGAGGTCAATTATTGCTTAGTCTGATGAAGTGATAAACAATAATCTAGTCAAGGTGTAGAGAGGGGTTTTGAAGAAATCTCGAGTTAGGAAAGAGTATCAGCGCTTAAATGCACTAGCTCAAAACAGCTTCAACATAATAATAATATTTGTCATGTCTCATGAAATATAGTTCTTTGTGGGTTATAACTTTTTTTAATATACATATTTACAATTGCTAACTAGCTTTCACTGTGATTCTTTAAATTTCATAATTTACCAGAATTGATGAAATTTCGCATCATGTTAAAGTAAACTGCTAAACACATAATTAATAAAAGCACAATAGTGTTTAAGTTTTCTATAATTGTTATATATTTATTTTAAAGTATCAATTGATCCTTATTACTAAAAATGTTTATAAATAGGGTTAAATGATCTTAGATATGAATTAAATGAAAATGAGCTTCCACGACTTAATAACTTAGTTTATTATCTACTCTTAAATTTATTAAAAATACAAAAATATCACATTTTCACAATTTTGTATAAAAACCTTTGACAAAATAGCATAAATTTAGTTTGTTTAAATTAGTTTTAATACTGTGTTACTAAATCAACATTTGTTTATGTTAGCAAGCTCTTCTGGGGTAGCAGGATCCGTCACGCCTATAGGTAACTTATTTCGCTTATCTGCCTTTCGTTGCTTTCTCCAGCGATAAAATATTTCCGGAGTCCAAAGTAATACAACAATTAAAAGTAATACATTCTGAGCATGTAAGCAAAGAATGTATGAGTCAGTATAGTCACGTATCCATCCAAGTAACTGGCCAATTGTTATGACTATAATACCTTTAGATATCATATTTAAACCCAGACCACCAGCCAACTTATCTGAGCTGCAGTAACTGGAAATTGTTAAGTTATTATTCAGTACTGTTGCAGACTTTGTCATTCCAGTAAATATTGACATCATAATTATAGTAGTCATATCGGTGGATTCTGCCAAAGCTGCAATTGAAAATAATTTACTAAATATTTATTATTTATTTAATATATAGAGTTAATATACCTGCGCGGGAAACAAGTAGTCCTACTGTGCCTAGTAAAAATATAACGCGATAAGATATTTTTAATTTGTCTGTTATACAAGGTAACAGCAAGCGACAAACGATGTCAGCACCAGCAATAGCGGACATGCAAGTAGTAGTACGACTGCTGGAAAATCCAACTGAGTACTGTGATATAGAATAGAATTTAATTAAACTATGCATAACTTATTACGTTAACTTTATTTACTTGTAGAAAATTTGGGAAGAGCATTGTAAAATTAATTGTTGATGTGTAAACTAATGCCATTCCCATAATTATGCTCCAGAAAACTGGATCACACAACAATTCCAAGTCCATGGCTTGCACAAGACGATGACAGATTTTGCTACATAATTTTTGTCCTGTAGTTTTTTCCTTATTAACCTCTTTAGGTTCAATTTGTGTTGTTGCTTTTATAATCTCAATTTTAAGTGGTATTTGCGCCTTGTTTTTTTC